CAAACATACAAACTATTTAATACATTCGGTAATGCAACAAACATACAAACCATTCAATACATTCGGTAATAGAATAAACAGACAAACCATTCAATACACACGGTAATACAACAAACATACAAACCATTCAATACATTCGGTAATAGAATAAACAGACAAACCATTCAATACACACGGTAATACAACAAACTACAAACCATTCAATACACACGGTAATACAACAAACTACAAACCATTCAATACATTCGGTATATATGAGGGCTTATAACACTAAAAGAAAAACAGATTTGATATCATCGAAGGGTAAAATGTTTTAGAAAGGAATATCTCCGTAGAAAAAAATCAATTATTTTAACTAATTAACTTCTTTTTAAAAGTTGACAAGATCAGTGTGTAAAACAATAGCATTGAAACGAAGAATAAGAATGAAATTAAGAACGCTTTAATAAAAACATCTAGGCTTCTAAGATAAAATAACATACCAAATTCAAAGTGTTTGAACAAGTTTAGATGAATTAAGATAAGTTCTGAACGTATTTTTTAGGCTTCCTATCACACCCAACTTGGTGGCCAGCAGACAAAAGCTACAGGTTTAATCTTCATCGAGAGACAAGAGCAATGAGTATAAGTTCGAAGCGGTATCGTTCAGAAAAAGGTATTACATGAAATATTTATATTCCAATTTTAAGAATCTTTCTTAATCTCCAAATATTTAACCAAATTTGAAAAGAATTTATCGTTATGTTGTGTCCTCCAGTGTGATGTTCTCATTTCACGCTGTGGGAAAGCAATGTATCGTTTATTGGTAGTTTCAAATATGTTTTATATTAAGTACGTTATTAAAAATGAATTGTGCTCATGATATTAAAGCCTTTATTGTGTGATAGGAAACTTTGATGATAAAGCCTCATATTGTATTTGATATTAAAGAAATAGCTTTTCTCTTAGTCACACAAATGTGTGAGGGGATATCTTGCTGAATTAAAAAAAAAAAGATTTCATCAAAAACAAACTCCGAATATTTGCTCTTTATTGAAACTTCTAAATATTATCTAAGAACAAAATATAAACAACTGTAACATACATTCAGTACACTTCATTATACACAACGTTCTTTATAGCGACCTTTCATTCAAATATGGATTCTATAATTAAATATGTAGATAAAATCACCCTATCATGAAACATGAAAAACCAGTAAATTGTTATAGAAATTTCATTAAAACGTATGTATTCATTAGTTTCATTAATGGTTTCTTGTTAAAATATCTTGAATTTTTAGACTCCTGTTTATTTAGCTGCTATTGTATAGATGGCAGCACTTATCCAAAGAAGATTGGGGTTTATTGTTTTCTGTTATATAAATAAAAAATAGTGAAGGGATCGTATTTCTATTTTTAGTGTTGTTAGATTGATTTGGAATAGCTTTTAATTTCGTGATATTTTCAGAGCCCTCTATAGTTGATATAACGAAACTGAGAGTGAGAACTGGAAAAGATGCTGTGTTACAATGTATTGTTGAAAATCTGGGAAATTATAAGGTAATCCACCTTCGTATCGTTATTTTCAAGTAATAAATTACCTTCAAGTAAGCAGAACTTTCCATGTTATCTGTTCCTGTTAACTTAGTTGCGATCTAAAAGAATTTTAACAATGTTGTTGCTGTTACGTCGAGGTGAGCTGTATTATATCTGTTAATTTGGTTACTTACTCTAGAACATTCTACCATGCCATTGGTAACCTTTTCTTTTCAACATGAGCACATAACGTTCATTCGTGTCACAAGTGTACCGTTTCGTTATTAGAAATGTTTTTCAATGTCTTGTAAGATTAAAACTTGCCGAGTGACAGTAAAAGTTGAGAGCAAGTGTACTCACTTGGTTGACTCTTGGTAAATAAATGGGAGGTGGTAAAGAAAGATTAGTTAAGAGCTTATACTAACAGCCTGTAATATGATAAACATTATGTTATACCTTGTAACATAATCTATACTACGAAAGGCTAAGGAGCGTTATTTTGAGTTACACCACTTATATGCCAACTTAATATCCTAGTCAGTCGTACTTAGATTCACAATACACTAAATTAAATAACAGTATACTTGTGTACGTTCATAGCACCATAGAGTAAATAGTAACACACATATTAATTATAATTAAGTACAAAGCGCACAAACGTTAATTACAAAAACAATAAACCAGTTTGAATAGTAGTTACTTATAACACACACCTATTCTAACACTAGTTACCTATAACACACACCTATTCTAACAGTAGTTACCTATAACACACACCTATTCTAACAGTAGTTACCTATAACACACACTTATTCTAGCATTAGTTACCTATAACACACACCTATTCTAACAGTAGTTACATATAACACACACCTATTCTAGCATTAGTTACCTATAACACACACCTATTCTAGCATTAGTTACCTATAACACACACACCTATTCTAACAGCAGTTACCTATAACACACCTATTCTAGCATTAGTTACCTATAACACACACCTATTCTAACACTAGTTACCTATAACACACACCTATTCTAGCATTAGTTACCTATAACTCACACCTATTCTAGCATTAGTTACCTATAAAGCACACATATTCTAATAGTAGTTACCTATAAAACACACATATTCTAATAGTAGTTGCCTATAAAACACACATATTCTAATAGTAGTTGCCTATAAAACACACATATTCTAATAGTAGTTACCTATAAAACACACATATTCTAATAGTAGTTGCCTATAAAACACACATATTCTAATAGTAGTTGCCTACAAAACACACATATTCTAATAGTAGTTGCCTACAAACACACATATTCTAATAGTAGTTGCCTATAAAACACACATATTCTAATAGTAGTTGCCTATAAAACACACATATTCTAATAGTAGTTACCTATAAAACACCTATTCTAACATTAGTTACCTATAGAACACTTCAGTATAGTAAGACACAAGTTATCCGCAGGTGGCTCAATCGTAATTCTGAGGTTTTATAATGATAGATGTTGGGTTTCGATACCAGATATGGGCTAAGCACACATCGCCCATAGTGTACTTTTATGCTTAAGAACAAACAAACAGTGTGTTTTACAACACTCTAGTGTTAAAAGCGGCTTTATGTATAACACATCGCTGGGAATGGTAGCTTCCAGTATGGATGGTAATTACGTATACAACACTGGGAGTGATATCCACTATTTTTATAACACACCACTATGGATGGTAATTACGTATACAACACAACACTGGGACTGGTAGCTACCAGTTTTATAACACACCAGTATGGATGGTAATTATTTGATAAGGTAATATAAATTATACAAATACTTCATTGATAAGGTAATATAAATTATATAAATACTCCTTTGATAAGGTAATATAAATTATACAAATACTCCTTTGATAAGGTAATATAAATTATACAAATACTCCTTTGATAAGGTAATATAAATTATACAAATACTCCTTTGATAAGGTGATATAAATTATACAAATACTCCATTGATAAGGTAATATAAATTATACTAATACTCCATTCCCACGAAATACACATGAAGTATTTGTATAATTTATATTACCTTATCAATGTGTCATAACATATTTTATTAGCATTGGTTGACTTTCTGATTGTCAAAATGTCTTATGCATTAATCTCAACTAGTTTCATTTTAAATATGTGAAACTAACTTATAATAACACGAAATTTATCACTTTTTAAGTACTACTAGATTAAAGAATAGTAAAGGTCGTTAAAGTATGGCCTTATGCTTGTAAACTTATTAATTGCTATTAATATAAATTTAAGTGCTAAAGCGGAACTTGATATATATATAAATATATATGTTACTCTTAATCTTTATAAAAGTTTCCATTTTTGTAATACTATTGGAACAGTTAATAACTCAAGCAGACATTTTGTAAGTTGTAAGTTAAGAATAGTTTGTAATAGAATCTGCTCAGATAAAAAAAAATAATATAGTGCAATTTATTACCACTAGATGACACTAAACGAAGGATGGCATTATTGAAAAACAGAACCTCGGTTTTCCGCTCTGGGTATTCATTTTATAGACCAGTTTTCTTGCTGTTTTTTAAAGGAATGTGAATGCTTCTCGTCAATTCCAGAGAATGACAATATCATTTTGTTCAGCGTTATTTGCCCCTTTTGTTCAAACTTCACTCTAAGATAGGAGAAGCAGAATATTTGGGTTTTAGAAATAAAAATAAACTGAACAAATAAATAATATCAAATGTTGAAATCAGTTATATCAATGTTTTTTCAATATCAGATAGTTGCGAAAACTTTTCGGATATATTTTTGTCTAAATAAAAACAAAAATATTTTAAGTGAAATATAAAGAAAGTAACGTGGCTGATGTAAAAAAAACAGATAATCATTGGTTGATCAATATATTCTCTGTGTGATCATTGGCTGATCAATATATTTTCTGTGTGATCATTGGCTGATTAATATATTTTCTGTGGACAATTTTTGTAATACTTGCATCTCTGTATTTATGGATTTGTGCAAAGTCATGTGGAATCATATTATCATCCCCCCCCCACAGTACCGCAGCGGAATGTTTGCGGACTTTCAATGGTAGAAATCGAGTTTCGATACCCGTGGTGGGAAGAGCACAGATAGTCCATTGTGTAGCTTTGTGCTTAACTTCAAACAAACAAACATATTATCATCATGATAATAAATGGGGTCATATTATCACCCCTTTAAAGCTCATGATCCTAAATTATGCTGGAGTCATATTATCCTCATGATCTTAAATAATGCTGGAGTCATGTTATTACCGCTCTGAACTCATGATCCTAAATAACATTGGAGTCATGTTATTACCGCTCTGAACTCATGATCCTAAATAATGCTGGAGTCATGTTATTCCCAATCCTAAACTCATGATCCTAAATAATATTGGAGTCATGTTATTACCGCTCTGAACTCATGATCCTAAATAATATTGGAGTCATGTTATTACCAATCCTAAGCTCATGATCGTAATTTCAGTAAATCTCTGTTATATAATTAAAATCTGATCGACCAAAACAGTTTTTGTGTAATCAATAATTATATTTTTGCACATCGTTTTAGACTCAAATTATTCTGATTCATCGTATCTACTGAAGTTTTTGTATGAAATACGTTCTAATGATTATAAGTATTGTAAGGCATGAGAGAAAGATGTAAAGAAGAACTAACCAATCATAGTACGAGTGTTGTACACGTGGATTAGTAATATACAAAAACATTTCGACGATGACGAGTTGAAATAAAAGCAAGTTAGTTATATAGACGAGTATAACAATGGTCACTTTGGTGACTGAGTGTTGTAAAGCTTCAGTGAGTGAAACTGAGGAAGTCAGTACTGGTGACATATGTATTGTAAGGCTTAGATGAGCGACATATAGGAAGAGAACGATAATATGAGCGTTATAAGACCTCAGTGATGACTGATATAGAAGGAGGATACTCTGGTGACATAAAAGTAAAACAGCAAAGTTAAATACACTCAGATATGTGTATTTGTATTCATGGCAAAGCTTCTTCTAAGATAAATGTTGCCATCTAATCTAAGCGATTAAATGTCACCCTTGTAACATATCCTCAACTCCGATATATAGAGTTCCCCACACAACCAGCCCTCACCCCATTCTAAAAATGAATTTAATAATACTACCATGAATTTTGTAAGGGAATGAATTTACTGGTATAAAGGAAGTTTACAAAATGCTATAAATTTTGAGAAGTTTAAGTTTTTTCATATAGAGGAAGAGAATAATGGTATTGTAAGATTGGAAAGTTAATGATACAGAGAAGTTAATAATACTGACATATATAAATATAACAATGGTGGCATGAGTATTGTAAGATAGGAAAGTTAATGATACAGAGAAGTTAATAATATTGACATATATAAATATAACAATGGTGGCATGAGTATTGTAAGATAGGAAAGTTAATGATACAGAGAAGTTAGTAATACTAACATATATAAATATAACAATGGTGACACGAGTATTGTAAGATAGGAAAGTTAATGATACAGAGAAGTTAGTAATACTAACATATATAAATATAACAATGGTGACACGAGTATTGTAAGATAGGAAAGTTAATGATACAGAGAAGTTAATAATACTGACATATATAAATATAACAATGGTGACATGAGTATTGTAAGATAGGAAAGTTAATGATACAGAGAAGTTAATAATACTGACATATATAAATATAACAATGGTGACAATGGAGAAATTAACAATAGAGAAAGTAGTAATAATGAGAAGCGAATTTACTGACACAGAAGAATGGTTGAGGATGACGTAAATTTTGAATTACTTGATTGGCTCATTGTAGCAGGTGATAAAAATTACGAAACGAATACTTGCTAGATATTTTGTTTGTATGACAGATGGTGTCAGTGGTAAATACATTTGTTGCTCTTCAGTTACCAGTACTGAAAAATGTGATAATGATACGATAGATGTTGTAATGTTTGTGCGGAAGGTGTTCTAAGGGTTAACTTAGAAAATATTAAATTTTATGATATAGGTGTTGTAAAGGTTAACTTAAAAATGTTAAAGTTAACGATATAGGTGTTGTAAGGGTTAACTTACAAAATGTTAAAGTTAATGATATAGGTGTTGTAAGGGTTAACTTACAAAATGTTAAAGCTAACGATATAGGTGTTGTAAGGGTTAACTTACAAAATATTAAAGTTAATGATATAGGTGTTGTAAGGGTTAACTTACAAAATGTTAAAGTTAATGATATAGGTGTTGTAAGGGTTAACTTACAAAATGTTAAAGTTAATATCAATGACAATACAAGATCTTAAGGTTTGGTTGATACTAAACATACATAATTTAACTATACTATACTATGCATACATAATTTAACACATTTATATTATTTTACACCAACACAAACAGTGTTCCATAAGCACAGATGCGTGTGAATTATAACACAACTGTCTTCTGTAGCGATATATAAACACACACACACACATTCCTTGTATCTTTAAAAACACAAATTTTTGTTTATATGAATACATTATTGTGACGTGAACTCACATCTGTATTATGTTTATATAGATTGGAAGAATCTTTAAACAAAGATTAGTCATTAGCTAACACTTGTATTTTATGTTTTGTTAGCACACAATCACTATGTTTTTGTAACTTGAACATATGTTGTACTGTTGAAACACCCCTGTTTGTATTACACAGAACACAGGCTGTGTTGTTTTAACCCAAGGTTTTCTTACGGTGTTGACACAAATCTTGCAACATTTGGATCAGAGCTAAAGTGCCTAAGGTAATATTAGCAACATGTATATAAAACATGATAAAGCTCTAACTAGCTGAAGGTCATATTACAAAGATGTATGTAAAACATGAAAGTGTTGACGTAATAATTAAAACTTGCTTATACCAAAGAGACTGAAAATATAAAACTTGAACACACAAAATGTAGGCGGCGTCTATAAGAATATCGTAAAGTATAACAAAGATTCAGATCACAAGAATGCTTCGCATGGGAGTTTGATAAATGTGAATATTTAATAATACTTGTCATAAGACATTATGTTAGGCCTAATACATTTGTAAGTACTACATTCTTAATCTAGTCCTTTACGGATTTTCAATAATTAAAAGAGTGGATACTAATAGTATTCAATTATAGTAAATTTGTTATATTAACTATTTCCGATGACGCGTTTCGCTAAATCCAGACCCCTTCAGGCCGGCTGAGATACAACAAACAGTACAGGTCGGAACACTATTTATAAAAGCCATTTGACACAACAACAGTTGTTTTGGTGTGTACGCCTTTTAGAACCGGCGAAGAATGATTACAATCATACTTCTCATAAGACATCAGTAAACAATTGTGAATAGTTACAATCATACTTGTAATAAGACATCAGTAAAAAATTGTGAATAGTTACAATCATACTTGTAATAAGACATCAGTAAAAAATTGTGAATACTTACAATCATACTTGTAATAAGACGTTAGTAAACAATTGTGAATATTTACAATTATACTTCTCATAAGACATTAGTAAACAATTGTGAATATTTACAATCATGCTTCTCATAAGACATTAGTAAACAATTGTGAATACTTACAATCATGCTTCTCATAAGACATCAATAAACAATTGTGAATAGTTACAATCATACGTCTCATAAGACGTTAGTAAACAATTGTGAATACTTACAATCATATTTCTCATAAGACATTAATAAAAAATTGTGAATACTTACAATCATATTTCTCATAAGACATTAGTAAACAATTGTGAATACTTACAGTCATACTTCTTATGAGACGTTAGTAAACAATTCTGATGAGTTACAATGATATTTTTCATAAGACAATTGTAACCAAAGTGAATAGTTTCAAAAGCATTTTTTTCTTCTCAAATTGAAGCTATTTAACAAATGACATGTGTTTAGAAATGTGTTTATTTTGCTACTGGATGGCGCCACCATTGCAGAACATATATTCTAGTTCTTTGGTAAATGTTCAGTTCCTACACTGCATGGAGGAAGTGCTGAGAATAAATTGTAAATCATGTATGTTTCGAATATTTCAGAAGAAGATGAAACATGTCCATAATAGGGACCGTCTGTGAAATCATAAAAGGCGTTAAATAAACCGTAAATAGTATTTCAAAATTATATCTCCAGTGACTCAAGTATTAATTACGTAGAAATTCGATACATGTTTTGAAATAACATATACCACCAGGTGTAGCTACAGTAACGTGGCCTGAATAATTTACGGAATGCTAACAATGAAATGGATGATCAACCGTAATTTATAAAAGAGGATTACTAACGAACTTTAGTACGTCATTCGTAGTTGATGTTAACAAAACGTAATCCACTTGCCTTTATAAGATCAACTGCTATTTTCTGAAAAATCCAATGTCTTTAATTAAAATTACAACTGTTCTTTCCCAATTACAACCCATTTGTGTTAACATTTTTTACTCATTTATTATTTCGAACCCAATCTAATTTCTGCCAAAACGATGTTCACTCTCTTCCAAACTAAATTTACTTAAAATAATGTATTATTTTCTACGGTAAAAACCAATATATTGAAATCCATCATGTTATTAGATGCAATCCACCATGTTATTAGATGCAATCCACCATGTTATTAGATGCAATACGTCATGTTATTAGATGTAATCCGTCATGTTATTAGATGCAATCCATCATGTTATTAAATGCAATCCATCATGTTATTAGATGCAATATATTGTTTTAATAGGCGTATTTATTTATATTCAGCACAATTCATCATTTTATTCGGAATAATTCAGTGTTTTATTAGATTCAATACATTGTTTTATTATATAAAGTCTACTGTTTTGCCAGATACAACTTATAGTTTTATCAGATACAGTCCATTGTTTTAATCGGTACTATTAATTGTTTTATTATATAAAGTCTACTGTTTTACTAGATACAACTTATAGTTTTATCAGATATAGTCCATTGTTTTAATCGGTACTATTAATTGTTTTATTATATAAAGTTTGCTGTTTTACTAGATACAACTTATAGTTTTATCAGATACAGTCCATTATTTTAATCGGTACTATTAATTGTTTTATTATATAAAGTTTGCTGTTTTACTAGATACAACTTATAGTTTTATTAGATACAGCCTATTGTTTTAATCGACACTATTAACTTAGTTTATTCATTATTTATTACTTTTGTTGGATGTCACCAATGAGGTAAGTAGAGGATGATATCTGAGATCGTTGTGCAGAAAACGGACGTCTAGTTACACTCTTCAGAGTTACTTGTAAATTATAAAGATCCTTTTGTAAGCGAATGATTCTACTGTGTTAATCGAAATACGGGTTTGACTTTATCTTCTAGTTTTAACTCGAACAGCCGATCTACGGTGAGTAGAGTTGGAATGTTTAAGCAACAGCCACACTTCCTTGACAGTGTGTGAGAGAGAAATTTGTGAACTATTCATTACTTTATATAATTTCATCTAGTAGATGTGTAACATCTGTTGTACATATCTTCCCACCAGGTAGCGTGGCTGCGAGTAAAGAACCAAACGCTGATAGCGGTGCACACCAAAGTGATATTAAGGAGTGACCGTTACAGTGTGTCCCATCAGAACTTACGGATATGGAAATTGAAGATTGAAAAGGTTACACTGGAAGATAAAGGTTATTACATGTGCCAGGTTAACACTCCGGTCTTGAAAACGAAGCCTGCTTACCTAGAAGTGGTCGGTAAGTGACAAAGGGGTGCTAATGTGAAATTTCATAAAACGTTGACGTTAATTAATGTGATTAAGGTATCTCAGGAAGGGATAATTTAAAGCAAAGCAATGCATAGGCTAAAATATTCAAACTTAAGAGAAATGTATAAACGTTATGAATATGAGTTTCTTTATCATTCTTTTTAGTCAGCAAAAACAAAAACAAAAGCTATCTTCTCAGATCACGTAATCTTGCAACTTAATAAAAGTTGAATCCAATCCTCTGATTACAGTGAAGACAACCTAACAAAAGCCATCTTCTCAGATCACGTAATCTTGCAACTTAATAAAAGTTGAATCCAATCCTCTGATTACAGTGAAGACAACCTAACAAAAGCCATCTTCTTATTAGATCACGTAATCTTACAATTTAATAAAAGTTGAATCCAATCCTCTGATTACAGTGAAGACAACCTGACAAAAGCCATCTTCTCAGATCACGTAATCTTGCAATTTAATAAAAGTTGAATCTCATCCTCCTACAAGATTTTCGTAAATAAATAAAACCTGCTTGCTCAAAACGACCCTTTCAAAAATGATTACAAGAATTATCAATATTTAATAGCTTTTTGTTCGTTATCAAAAAGTCCCCCGGTGGGCAGGTGTAAGTCTAAGAAGTTACAAAGCTATGATCCTAGATTTGATTCGCCAAGTGGACACAGTAGATAACCCAATGTCGTTTTGCTCTCTACGCAAAAGGCAAAAATTACAAAAAATAGATTTTAAATCCTTCACATTGTACTTATCTACGGGGGGGGGGGGTATCTCTTTTAAATTCCTCAGTTTCCATTCCATATGAATAATGTGCTATAAATGATTTTAACTTAGACTTCCATGAATTTTCTCTACTTTGGATTGTATTTCAATAAAACTTCTTTACAGGTGGTTCTGTACATCTGGAAACCATTTTACAATCAGAGGATTGGATTCAACTTTTATTAAGTTGTAAGATTACGTGATCTAATAAGAAGATGGCTTTTGTCAGGTTATTTTCACTGTAATCAGAGGATTGGATTCAACTTTTATTAAGTTGTAAGATTACGTGATCTAATAACAATATGGCTTTTGTTAGGTTGTCTTCACTGTAATCAGAGGATTGGATTCAACTTTTATTAAGTTGTAAAATTACGTGATCTAATAAGAAGATGGCTTTTGTTAGGTTGTCTTCACTGTAATCAGAGGATTGGATTCAGATTTAATGTGGTCGTTATGACTAACATGGCTTAATATCCAGTTAGAGAGTTGGATACTTATAATTTAAACGTTAAACTAGTGTTTCTGTGTTAGTTCCTCCAGCTTTTGATAGCAGCAGTACCAGTAACAGTACTGATGTCATGGAGTACACCGAGAACGTCACTCTCATCTGTAAAGCTACAGGAAATCCTCTACCTGTCATCAAATGGTGTAGAGAAGACAACAGAAGTTTCAAAGTCGGAGATCAAGAAGGTACACTTTCTTTTATTATAAGTTTGTAGACGGCTTGAATGGGTATTGAAGAAAACTTTATTATAAATGTACAACATTTATGTTTGTTTGTG